ATCGGATATGTGTCCTTGCCGCTGAAGGTTCTAATCGAGCCTTCCACATCTCGAAAAGTCATTGAAAACTTGATGCGGGTACCTCCTCTTCTAATAGAGCGTCTTTCTTCACTCACATTATCGTCTTCTTCATCATTCATTTCCTCGCTTGTTTCGTCCTCTTCTTCGTTCTCGTCGTCCTCCTCTTCACCGTCATCTTCGTCACAAGTGGGTGCGAGTGTATTCAAGTTCATTAGTCCATTTACGATTCTTGCAATTATCTCTTCCTTGCTTCCGTTGTACTCTAAGCCAAGAATGTTGCAGCACGATATCAAATCACCGATCGTAAGTCCTCGTCCGAATTCAAGCTTCTCCGCATATTCAGTCGTATTTTTTTGGAAAGTGAATCCTTGAAAATCTCTGATACGCTGTCGGTTTCTGCGATCACCTTCCTCTTCAAAGATAAGCTTATGTAGTGCCGTCGTGGCAGCTGTGGATGCTGTACGAATTTTCTGTTTAATTGTTTCGATCTGTGCGAGGTTATCCATCTTGACACGTTCGCTCAATCTCGTATTCGCACACTCGATGTCGCTATCGCTCTTTCGATATCACGTATTCGATATCACGGTCGATCTTGCCGATGCCGTTACCGATTTCACACACACGCGATACTGCCCGCACTGCCGACGATCTTGCGGCCACACACTCGATGCCGTTACGGAATGTTCTCGACGTTCTGATGTACTGACTTCTAACGTCTTTTTTGATGTCTCTGTTCACTGCATGCGTTTCTTCTACAGGTCATAGAGAAATCACACGCACTTATTCTTTGCTTGTCGACGTTGCTTCTTCCTTTCTTTCTTCTCGTTTTCTCGTTGTTTCGTCCTTCGTCTTTCTTCTCGTCGTTTCGTCTTTCGTCTTTCTTCTTGCCAATATTCGTCTTTCTTCTCGTCGTTTCGTCTTTCGTCTTTCTTCTTGCCAATATTCGTCTTTCTTCTCGTCGTTTCGTCTTTCGTCTTTATATCGTCTTAGATCCTTCGTCTTAGATCCTTCGTCTTTTCGTCCTTTACCTTCGTCTCTGTGTCGTCTTTCGTCTCTCTTCTGATCCTCCTTTCGTCTTTTCACCGCTCTTTATCCCGG